CGTTATTATATGTTTATGTTTTTTTCGGTAAAAAATGCGCTTTTGATTGACAGTCATGCCATCATTATTAGCACACACTCAAAAAACTATGGGAGATTGGTGAATTTCCACACCTTCACACAAAAACCCGCCCATTTCTGGAATCTATACTCTGTAAACCTAGTGCTGAAGAAGATCACTTCTGTGAAAACGCTTTAGACTCACCTTACCTAATTTGTAGAGAATGGTTGGTTTCAATGAATCAAAAACTTTAAGACTTTCAGAAGAATTACATGTTATTAAAATTTCCCTCAATGTTTTGGAAAGGTTGGCAGTTTGAAGAGGAAACGGCAGGCAGAATACTTTACAAAATCGCAGATGACTCGCATGTGTTCCAGTTCAATAGCGAGGCAGAAGGAGAATCTTACGCCGACGAAAATGTTGTCGATTGATACAGAGTTGACAATTGAGCGAAACTCTCCGATTTCCTACACAAGGAATCCAAGCAGATTGCCTAGTTTCAATGAGAGAAAGTCCAAAAGTCCATTGCTGATCAGCAGGTTGCTGAAGATTTCAAGGCTGCTAAATTCACAACATGGATATGAACAAAAGGAAGGTGTTAGTACAAAGCATAGCTACTGCTCTTAAATCCTGACTGGAATACGAACTTAACTCTGTGCTTTATGCTGCTGGAAGTATCTCGCCTTGTGACATTATGACCTATGATATTGAAAAAAACCAACGCGCAGCATAGTATCTACTTTTTTCGGCTATTCCGCAGATGCTGTTGAAGAAGAAGTTGAGCAGCTTTCTCGTCAGCTAACAAGAGAATGCCAGAAAAGGTGAAGGCAGAGTTCGACAAGGCCCAAAAAAGTATGCAATATTTCCTTCCTGTGTTGCGAAAGCATATGCGATCTGGCTTTCCCCATTACTTACCGTAAAAATCTGATGGACTTACTAGCAAAGCTAGTTCCCATTCCGACTAGCACGGCAGAGGTGGAGAGGGGATTTTCTATCTACTCTGTTATCAGAACACAAGGCAGAAGTCGTACAACGATGGAGCATCTAAGCAATTACTTAAGGCTTGTAACCTTCTACTAAACATATTGTTGTCTAAAAACTTCATTTAAAGGATTGGCATAAGTGGTCCAGACAGGCTGTTACCGTATGACTTTTTGAAAGCACAGATCTTCATAAAGTAAATTTTTTGAAAATTTTTAATTTCTTTTAAAATTTTTAAATTTTTTTCAATTTGTGCCTAAATAAGGTACAAATTAGAGCTCTTCATACCACGCTTTTTTACCTTTTTTCTTCCTCCCCCCCCCTAGACTCAAATACCCACTTCACCCTGGAAGGTCGGGAGCAGCCAAGACACCCTTCACCTGGGGAGAGCCCGGCTCCCCCTATCGCACCTATGGTCAAACGTGGGGTGTGGCATGCCACATCTGGGGGTCGTATTGAGGAATCAGGGAGGGAGGGGGGTCGTTATCAAGGCGTCCGCTGTTCGCATAACATGATATTCGTTAACAATGTCAAATAGGTTCGTCATGCAAAATACTAGCACAATGATGTATGACCCATTATCGTATACGTACAGTAAGCATAATTGAAGATCTATAGAGCATAAGAGCATCGTCTGGTAATTAGCAAGTAGAATAACTCCTGTGCTCCAAGTTTCAGCGAATTCTGAGGTTTCCAAATACAGGACCACCTAAGTGAGATGGTCGTTTTCAAACATGTTACTTTGTTTCAAAGGTAAGTTAACTACTTCTTTTTGTCCTTAATACAAGAAACTACTATTTCTTCGCTGACATTAGGAATCCTACTTCAAATGACCTCCAAATTAAGGAATTAAGAGCAAGCCAAAATATCGTTTGTTCCATTTTTCATTTCAATATCTCAGGCTAGAGAAGAGCAATCAGGCTCAAAACACTTTTATGTAGATTACGAGGCTTAGACTATCGAGTATATAGTGTGGACCCCGGCCAGCTTCCCACAGGTACCTCCACGACGCGCGCGCAGCGCATGCCTTTAGTGCGCTTATCGTATCAGCTCTACTAGACTTTTTTGCTCTTCTCTCTTAAGTGACTTTGTTCTATGCTGTAATTTCTCTATTTTAGGTGTAAAGGTCTCACGACACTTGAGTATTCAAGAAACTTGACAGTGTTGAGCGCTTTCAATCGAAAATTTCTTTTTCTCGATAATGAAGATTTGGATGTAGTATACGGGGATGTCTCTTCGATGGCTGCTATTACAGGATAAGCCTGTATATCCGATTGATTTTTATTGAAGATGTTTCTAGGCTTTTTTGATGCGCCGTTAGGGTTTTGCTTCTAGCCTTTTGCTATCGATCTCAAACCTTCTAGTCTTTGTCCACAGAAGAAGAAAGCTTTAAAGTGTTCCTCGACTTCTCCTGGTACCTCTATCACCCATCACTTGTAGCATAGTGATAACATAACATGATAACATAACATCATACCAGCATTAATGAGATGACTAAAATCTGGGCGCTAGAGGAAGTTCTGAACATTCTCTTGATGCTATGGCTTTTCTCAAGTTTCGTGTAGAAGTTTCCACTTCTCATTTAACTCCTTTTTCAAGTAGAAATGCTTTCGTGTTCATAAGTGAGATGAGAAGCGTCAAGTCGGGCCCGCGTTGCGTAGGCGACGCGGAGGTACCTATGGGAAGCTGGCCGGGGTCCATACTATATACATTCTTGTCACCTTCCCTAGCGATTCACATAGTAACGCAGACTTAGCATGTTACCGTATCCCAATATTTTTGCAGTATTTTACCAGTATTTTACATTTGCATGTGAGGAAAAACGATTATGTTTTGCTCTTGAAGAAACGTTTTCATATGAAATTTCTGCTATGTAAAGAAGAAGATTAAGCAGTAACAAGATACAGCTTTCTAGGAGTGGCACACCCCATTAACTATATCAAAAAACATTTTTAGCGAACGTTATCTATATAAATCGATAGTCTAGACCTCGAGATTCCATGGGAGTGATTTGAGCCTGATTCGTCTTCTTAGCTCTGAGTAATATTTGGTGAAAGACAGCGATTAAAAGCGCAAAAAATAAGAAAAACACGATTTTGATTGGCTTCTAATCCCACAGTTAGGAGGTCTTTTGGAGCGAGATTTTTGAGATGGACAAAGATGGAGTAGTGCTTTGTCTTGAGTGCAAAAAACAGCTAGCTACTTTATATGAAACAAAGTTAATCATGCTGGAAAATGGCGATTTCACTTAGGTGACCCAGTATCTTGAAACTTCAGAATTCGCTCAAACATTGTCTATAGGGGTTAATTGACATGCTAATTATGGATATGTTGCCCGTTATGTTTGACAGGACCTTGAAATCATGCTATCTTAGGTATATAGTTCAGAGGGTCTTATTGAGACAGCAATAAAAGGGGGGGGGTCGTAACCAGCGATCGTTTGCCACACCTCTTGCTTGACCCTGGTTTCTGATTTCCTTGGAATAGAGAATTTGGAGATTTATGCATATGAAGACAGGGAGGGGGACAAGTTGCGCAGAAGTTGGCAGAACATTGTGGATAGTTTCAGAATAGCGCAAGATGAGCTCTATAGTTTGACGGAGAGGAAGATCCTCAATCTACAACAAAAAAATTGCGAAGTAAAGCTTTTTCAGCTCTCGATAAATTTTTTTATTCAAACATCGTTTGATATGTAAATGACTCCATGAAGGAATGTTTCAGAAATGGGTAACAGTGTTTACAATTTGAAGTTTTCCACCAGCGTTAGCTGTAATTTGAAAGTCTGCAGTCTTTGCAAAATTGTCGTAATGATCGAAAAAATTGGGGTTTTTTGGGAAAAGTTTGAAAGGACGCATTGTTTTGCAGTTAGTCAAGAAAAGATATTTCCAACTCAACTGTTGGAGAAGAAAAGCGATATCCCCACTAATGCTCCCAGATCTTTCGTTAGTTTTTTCTGCGAGATTCGACGAATCAAAATCAATAGGAAAAACAAAAAACTTTTGATGTGACTATTGAGGTGTCCCACAATTTTTTTACTGTCTTCACTGAAACCTTCGTATTTCTGTATCTTTCCAATCAATGTGGCTTGAGTAATCATTTACGGGGCAAGGCAAATTCTACAAGATGGCTTTCAAAAGTCTGCCCAAATCGTATCTGACATAAATTTTGAACTGAAGTCTGCAGTTAATAACGGACTTTACCGTCATCGTATCCCCTCCCAGGAAATCATAAAAATTCCGCATCTCTATCCTAGCAAATGCTTGACACATGAACATTCAACTGTACACTGCCGTATTTTTATTATTGCTGGAAATGCAGAAAACAATGAATGGACTAAAACGGCGAACTCCGCCTTTAGACATCGTGAGCTCCTCCCACGCATGTGATTATACCGTAGAGCTCATACATATATACAGAAGTACAAGCATGTTTTGTACCCTTTATAATGCCCTGTTCTCAAGAAATCTAATGTGTAGTGTGAAAACGGTGAAAAAATATGAGAGACTCTGATAAATAGTTTACTTGAATAAAGAATAAGTGCATCTTACTACCCATGTTCAAGAGATCTAGACAAATCTAAACAGGGAAGGTATGATTCGCAGTAGACTTTCCCCATAAGATGCATATTCAAGAGGACTTTGAGTGCTGATTTCGGAACGAACTTCCTTATCTGCTTATCGGTTCACTGAACAAAGTTACAGGCATTTGTTTGGCTTCTGGATACTGATTTTGGTTGCAGGACTAACAAGGCGGCAGAGTAGCTTCAAAACTATTCCCATCCATTTTTTATGTATACAATAAATATACCTCAAACATTTCGGCGTCCAAACTTTGGACCAAATTCGCATTTATTACGAATTCAGTACTTGACCATGCAAACTGGAGGCGGAAAATTGCCTGTAACTTTGTTGAGTAAACCGATAAGCAGATAAGGAAAATTGTTTTGAAATCAGCAATCAAAGACCTTTCGAATGATATACATCTCATAGGGAAACTCCACTGCGAGTCATATACCTTCCCTTGTAAGTTCAACGGTAATAATGACTGCACACTACTACATAGTAGAATCCTCTTCCGCCTTCTTCCACCGTTCTATTGCCTTTTGCAGAGCCTCTATGCACTCTTGATGGTTGAAATGTTTGGCGTCGTCAAGCGGTGTTCTGTCAAATTTGTCCATGGGCTCTGAAGAAAATTTCATAATACTGGAAAAAATTTGTACGTAAATCAACAGTTTAGACCTGGTGACTCCTTCCACTTTGAAAGCACATAATTTAAGCAGTCCACATCGCCTTCTGACGCAGCCACATGCAAAGCTGTACGCTCATCGTAATCGCGGTCATGTATGTCCAGGCCCATCAAGAGATACCTCAAACGTTTTCTTATTTTTGAGATAAATTATTAATAGAAGAAACAGCTTTACACAGATACTCGTTGCAGGTTGGCAACTGAGTTTTGCAACTTTTTCCGTGATTTTTCTGCTTGGAAATCTATGCTCAATGCATTAGTTAGACTGTGGTAAGCTACAATAGCAGCCATTTTTGCCCAATTCCGCCATCTCATGTAAAGCACATATGTATGCCAGAGGGGGGGGAGGGGATGAATTGCCACAGAATCGGCTAAAATCTTGAAATAGGTAAATCTTTAAATTATGCTTGACACTCGCTCTAAAAGCCCTATCGTTGTTCAATGTTATGATTATAGCATTCAGATAAATAAAAACTATGCATGGCCGTTTTCTCCCAAATTCACAAACGTACAAACAAACATACACTGCACTGTACACTTGGTTACAATTGTACAACATTTATGGTTACCTCTTCATAGCAGATATGTCACCATTCTTAGCAGCATACATGAACTTTGAAGTATTATCCTGTTCAAGATCTGTAACCGCTTTTCTCGGATCCATTTTCTTGCAATCGGAGTAGACCTAGGACATTGTGGACGTTGCGATTTTGACTAGGATTTCCTGATCTCCAACTCACCAAGCTGTCGTAGTTGTGGAAGTTGAACTTTTCGATGAATGCTTCGGCAAATTTCAAGCCACGGTACGTGTTGCCCAAACTGTCCAGCCTGGGAGAATAGATGGCGATACCCATCACATTTGGAATAACCATTATCATATCTCCGGCAACACCAGATTTTGCTGGCAGGCCAACCTAGGAATTGACTTAGATTTTTACAGATGAAAAAAACTTTTGTTCAATATGTATTTTTTATTCCCTCTTTTTCTCAACTGAATTACGATAATGACGAAAATCACCTACTCGAAAAGCGAACTGTCCTGACCAGTCATACATTCCACATGAGTACATCAACGACAAAGTATCACGGCATGCTCTGCAAAAAGATAGTTAGAGGTGCTGCATAGATCATCATTGGTTTCTCGACAGTAAAAACCGTGGTCCGCTAGTGCAGATCCCGACGCGATAATGACGTGGAGCAGACGTCTTCGGCGCTTCGCGTTGCTTGCATTCTGCACGAACTAACACTTTCGAGCCCTACCCCGTGCTCTCCGGTTTTATATATTTCCATTGTTATATTGTTGGTCCTGCTTCACTACTTTCCATAAACTTGAAATTTTTAAGCTTACGCTTTCTTTCTATTAACCTCCATTATTTCAATATTCAAATATAACGTTGATATATACCATCGATATTGGGACCTTTTCAAACAAAACCCGATGATATTTTCAACAATCTAGAATGAAATTACCTGTTATTGATTACCCTTTCGCCGTTCATCGGATTGACTCCTCCATTTGCCAGTGTTGCTGCCATGACTGCTAAGGTGTCGCAGTTAGTCTCAATCGAACACAGTTGGAAATACAAGTCCAGGGTATCTTGGAGGTTTGTGTCCGGTGCAAAAACCTTAAATGTTTTCTCATGCTGAAAAATCTTTTTTAGAGGTTAGTTTTCTTACTTTATGCTCTCTCATGTAGTAGGAAAGTGCGTAATTGCGATCCGCTGTTTCTCTTTCTGACAAAAATCTAAATAAAAATCTGTTAGCAACGAAGACTGTTGCACTAAGAAATTTCTTACACAGCATTGTTAAAGCCAATGTAGCCAACTCCACAGAATCTCCTCATCTGGTGAATGGCCTGAAACATGAAGTCCCGTGAAGCTCTTCAGAAAGCAGGTGAATCTCACAAAATCAAAACGGTCAGATAGGGAGGCTTTCCGTTTCATCAGTGAGGCAACAACTATAGCCCCAGCGTTTATCAGCGGATTATGAGGCTTTTCTGCAATTTCAAAATTGAGCAAAGTCAAAAGAATAAGAAAAACACGCCACTATTATAATCAAGCGAGATGTCATTGAAGAGTCGTCCACTTGGCTCCTGTCCGACATAGCTGTGCAACTCTTCTGCTCCAATCTCATCATGCACCAAAGCATAGGTGAAAGGCTTCGAAACTGACTAAATGAAAAGTCAAAGTACGGCATTTATCTTTGTTGGTCGTACCCACCTGTAAGCAGAATGGCTTGACTGCATCACCCCAACTTTTTCTCTGTCCATCTACGGTACATACCGACACGGCAAATGATTCCGGGTCAGCTCTAGCAAGTTGCGGGATGTACGTTGCTACCGATAACATGATAAATTTTTACGTTTTATTCAAATTTTGCACTGACCATTTGATGTTATTATGAAATTTCGAGAAAAATGATTACTACTATACAATCAAATTTGAAGCGCTTAAATAGAGTTCTTTAGTAGATTCTAGACCCAACTGGTTATTACGGATTATCGATAAGCTTTAAGACGTTGAGCCTTTCTATTGCAAGAAGATGTGAGCTTGTTGTACAGATTCAATTTTGAATGAAATGGTGGCACTACTCTGCTTGTCAAAAATTTGCGAAAGAAAGCCTTCTTAAGTTTGCAAGTGCGTTTATATTAGGTTGGCTCGAAAGTTCTTTGACATTTTCGAACTAAATCTGTTATTTCTTGAAACCTAATGCATATACATCAGATTGATGTACCATTCGGTAGAGCAAAGTAAGCTCTACAAGATGGCATGCGAAAGTTCGCACCAGCTTCAATCCACCATGAGTTTGCACCCAAAATCTGAGTCGTACTGAAGTTCAAAAAATCGCGCGAAAAATTCATATCTTTGTTCAAACAAATTCTACTGACCTCCAACTTGCTCACAAAAATTGCACTCCACATCAGACACTCATGTGCACCGTTCCTCTATTTCTTTCTCATCTGGAAATCGAGAAAACGAAAATTTTCGTACTTCTATAAAAACGAAGCTGTGCTGTTTCCACCCATGCAATTGAATATTACAAGCCCTTAGAAGTATAACCGTAAATTTTCAGCTTTCCGTAAGCCCTAGTTGTCGAAAAATTTGATTCTAGCATGGAACGCCCGAGTGAGGAGAGCTTAATTCGGTTATTTCCGGGAACTAGGGCCTGTAGAAAGCTGAAAATTTACGGTTATACTTCTAAGGGCTTGTAATATTCAATTGCATGGGTGGAAACAGCACAGCTTCGTTTTTATAGAAGTACGAAAATTTTCGTTTTCTCGATTTCCAGATGAGAAAGAAATAGAGGAACGGTGCATATGAGTGTCTGATGTGGAGTGCAATTTTTGTGAACAAGTTGGAGGTCAGTAGAATTTGTTTGAACAAAGATATGAATTTTTCGCGCGATTTTTTGAACTTCAGTACGACTCAGATTTTGGGCGCAAACTCATGGTGGATTGAGGCTGGTGCGAACTTTCGCATGCCATCTTGTAGAGCTTGCTTTGCTCTATCGAATGGTACCTCAATCTGATGTATATGCATTAGGTTTTAAGAAATAGCAGATTTAGTTTGAAAATGTCCCAGAACTTTCGAGCCAACCTAATAGCTGCAAGAAACTGCTCACATTGTTTTGTTGCAAAATAGTCGAAATTTTAAAGATGTTTGGTGTCCTTATCAAAATTATTGTGATTTTATTCAAATTTGAGGTTTCTCATATGGATTACTCATCCTAGAAATCCGAGTAAACTTATACTTTCAAAAGCATCGTGTCGGGACAGATCACAGCGGTCACAATAGGTTTTTTGCCGAAATGAATTTTTTGCTGATTTTTTCTAAAGGTATTGGGCTGAATAAATGTCTTTCATATTCAAAATGGATTACTTCTCGATATGCGCAAAAGAAGAAAATCATGCATTTATAATAGAAAAATCATAGTGGCCATCATTAGGATACAAGCGTAAAAAATGCTGAATGTTAATATTTTAGTATCACCTAATTTTACGCAAGATGTGTACCATAACATAATAAGCAGTAGCATTGCAAAACTTGAGTATTCAAAACCTCAAACTATACATTTTGCATGATGTGTCTCAAGTTGTAGCTGCATGATATTCTTTTGAACGAAACAATGTTTTAGAATGCTAACCTGCCCTCCTTGATATCGCTTCGTTCCCGTGAAAAGCTCTTCCATCACATCTGTGAATGTGGTCCAGTCCGGAATTACTAACTGCTTCTTCAATGCCTTTCCAATTACTCCTATACTTGCGCCAACACACCTGCAAGTAAGCGCATAACTCTATGTATCCTGATGATCATAATGAGCACTACTTGCTGAATGCTTCTTTGTCCATAAACAGATATTCTTGATCGAATACACCTTGGTCCACATGTTCTGCATCTCGTACCTCAAAATCGAAGAGATGTTTAATTATGCTGTGACTCTTGTTTAATGCAAACTTTTGAGTATGGATTTTCTTAACTTTTCATTGCTTTTATAAGGGAAAACAATTCGATTTTTTCATTCATCTACGAATACCGAATTTTTTACGTTGTCTACAGTGTGATAGAATTTGCAAACAAGTTGTTTCAAGTTGTTTCTAGTTTAATGGTTAGTTTATTTTCTCCGTTTTCATAGAATTTGGATATTTCTAACGCAATTTTCAAAAGCTTGACTATGTCATGAGAATAATTCAGAGTTTCCTATATGTGAAGAGCTTTCCAAAAACTTCTGAGAAACGTGGCTATTGGGACGCCTATTAATGAAAGATATTCTTTCTCTCCTTCGCAGCAAAACTGAGATGCCAAACAGCTAATGAGAAATCATTATGAATGGCATGCGTCTATTCATGAGTGAAAACATCGCCTTAAAGGCAGCGGCTCGGCAGAATTTTTTCCAGATTTTTACCTTTTCGGGGCTTTCTCGCCATAAGAAACTTATATCTGGCTTTTCAGTGCATGAAAATGGCGAAAATGAACTTTTCCAGAAGCTTTCTATGTCCGCATTCAGTGGAGAAGTGGGCGGGGCGTGGAACGGAGAAAGCGGGACGCGGCTTTTTCCGGAGTATCTTCACTGAATTCGGATCTGGAAAGCTTGAAAAGAGCTCATTTTCGCCATTTTAATGCGCTGAAAAGTCCAGATATGGATTCTCCATGACGAGGAGGCCCCGAAAAGGTGAATCTGGAAAACGAAATTTTCCCAAGCCGCTGCCTTTAATGTGCTCAGGAATCTTTTATGTCAGACATTATCTTGGATAAGTGATAAATGTCCTTACTTGCTTTATCATTTCCGCGAGCCTTGGATCATCTTTTCGTATTCCAGCATCAACAAGTTCCTGAAAATAATGCGAAAAATCACAAGGATATGCTGTACATTTCGTCTTTACCCACCAGAATAGAGAGTATAAGCACTAATTAGTATTCAACTCTCTTGTGAAATTTGCATGTTCTATACAAAAATACATTCAGGGCTCGGCACGAGCGGGCACCAGGGAAATTTCAAAACGAAACCCCGTTTGATTTTACAAATTTCGTACGAAGTCCCTTTGACCTATTTAGAAGATCTGTCATTATTTTTAGATAAGTAGAGGCATGTAGTAGGATTTTCATGCATGCCGATTTCGTGGAACAACTATTCACAGCTTTCTGAGCTTTTCTAAGTGGTTGAATCACATGCTGAGAAGCAGAAGAAGTCGATTTTTCGACTGCGGAGCAGATCTAGTAATTTTCAGATGGCTATAAAACGCTGAAAAGAAAACTTTATGAAATTGTTTCTTTTCTGTATGTAAACTTTTACGGTGTAGATACGTTTTATATAAAAAAGTATGAAAACTTATGTGAGCAAAGTGCCGGTGCCAGCCCAGCTGGCACCCAGCTGGCACGGTGCCAGCTAATTTAGAAAAAATTTCAGCACAGCTTTCATTCACATAAGTTTTCATGAATTTGTGGGCCATAGTTCGGGTCCCCTATCGCGCATGCACACACCAAATTTGGGTCATACTATTGCATTTGAGCTGAAAACAACGCCATTGTTTGTTTGATTGACAACATGCCGGCGGCATTCTTGCGGCTCTTCTCCGCCCCGGACTCCGGAAAAAGATATCCCTTGCTTTCGCCCTAAAAACGATATCTAGCTTGACCCGGTGCCAGCTGTGCCGGACCCTGAATACCATGCTTAAAATCGAAGTATGCACAACGATAAAAACAAATATTAGGTCGTCCCGAAAGTATTTTCGCTTTTTTCAGGCAATCGCCACGGTCCGCAGAACAGACATCTTTAAAAGATCTTGGAAGCATTAGATGCAGTTTTTTATGCTCTTACAAATAGTTATCTTTATATTGCAGTTTAACAAACGAGCTCTCAGAAAATTACCAAAAACTGCGACCTATACTTTTCACCAAGGTCAAGTTTCGCTATTTTTCTAAATTCTTGTACTGATTCTCCGAAGAAGCCCAAGTAACCTTCGGAGAGAGCAAACCAAGGAGGATACAACACAATTTCTTTCTCCTTCCCAGAGCTCTCCATAATTTTTTGAGAAAGTTTCAAACAACACTATCGAATTTTAGCAGACCCATACCAGACGAAGACTCGTAAAACTCAAAGAAATTCTCAGTTTTTGATACTCTTAAAGTGGATTAAGATTCATTACTAATTTTACAAGACAAATGGGTGTTTCCAGGTTCGAAATATCAGATTTTGAATTTTTCGGGTATATCTTGGGGCGCCATCAAAAACATGAATTTTGTCGATTTTGTCCTCTAAAAGTTTACGAATCAGAAACAAAAAACATGCCTCTAAAAGAGGAGAAGGTGCTGCATCGAATAACACCCGAGTTGCTTCCCGAGTGATGCTCTATACGGTTCAAGTTGACGAAATATAGAATTTGATAGCATCAAAAAAATATTTCTAAAAGTTTTGTAAAGTAAGATTTGGAAGGGGTGGAAATTGTTTTGTATCCTACTTGGTTTGCTCTATCCGCAGGGTACTTGGGCTTCTTCGGAGAATCAGTACGAGGATTTAGAAAAATAGCGGAACTTTACCTTGGTAAAAAGCGTGGGTCGCAGTTTTTGGTTATTTTCTAAGAGCTCGTTTGTTAGCTGCAATTGTCAAGACGATCATTTGAAAGAGCATAAAAAACTGCATCGAATGATTCCAAGATCTTCTAAGGATGTTTGTTTTGCGGACCGTGGCGATTCTTTGAAAAAAGCGAAAATACTTTCGGGACGACCTAATACTTTCTACAAAGAAAAAGGTTGTATCTCGTATATCATAACTTTGCAAATTTCCATGATATAGTAGAAAGTTTGCGCTCCGTAAAGGTGATAGAAAGCAACTATATTATTATCTACAACATATCAATTATTCCATTTCGAATGGCAGGTGATAAACCTGACGAGGTATGCGAATATTGAGAATTGAATAATCATCAATTAATATGCCAATTTGAACATTATCTTCTCCTTTATCGCTCAATGCAAACATACTTACCATCGTATTTAATTACTTATCCGCTGTTTTTGTGCTCAAATAGTAAATTGTAAATTCTCAGTTAATAACACACCCACAAAAAAGTAAGATATTACCTCCTTAAGGCCAGAAAAATGGGAGAACTATCCAGAGTCGTACAGGGGGAAAAACTGAAGCCTTTTTGCACCATATGAAAACCAATAGTTGAAGCTCTGTGAGAGTCGATAGCTTTTGATGTTCCCGACGTTGTTAGCATTTAATTGTTATATAAATGCAGCAAGGCACTAATCAACAAATCAAAAAAAATCATCTGAGTGAATCGATTAGACGAAAACTCATCTCTTGTATTTGGATACATGTACAGTGACCGCCGAAAAGTTGCGGACAAGCCGCCTTCCTTTTTTCATCGCTCATTTTCGGATGGAAAACAAAGAAAAAAATGATTGGATTGCATGAGGTGATAGAGCTTTTCAAGAGCTACAACCCACACATTGCGTTTTCTGGAAAATGTTTATTATAAAAACTTCAAAAATTTTTTCCTAAAAAAAGTCCGAAAATGGCCGCGTCGCAATTCGCGGACATTAATTCTTCGAACGCGAAAACTTTCTTTTAGGTCTTTTCTTGGAGCAAAAACAGAAGTTTTCCGGACAGGTAAGCATACTATGTTGTAGAGCTCATCGAGGACAACAATCGGGTAGTAGTTACTTCCAAAAAAACCCAAGCTTGAATTTTATTTTGCATTTTTTTTCAAAAATAACTTCTAATTTCCCAATTTAAGCCAAATTCTTCGCATGGGAACCTATTCAAGATATCCCAACAAAGCTAATTGGATAGAATGGATGCCTTTTGATATCTTCTATGCATCCGACGTGTGCTGTCAAGTTTCTTTGCTGAAAATGGTTCTTGACAGTGAGTGCACATGACCCCACCTGCATCTCACCACTGACTTGCACCGCTTTGCAGGCCTGCAGCTAGGCCGGCAGTCAATTTACGAGCCTGCAGGTAGGCTCATTCAAAAGAGCGTGAGTTCCTCGACACGATGGTATGCAAAAGATTTGGTTATGAGAAATCACGGAGATTTGACGGATGGGGTGATAAAGCGCAGCTTCAGTTGTAGGTTGAGGATTTTTAAGTTAAGTTGAGCAAAGCTCCTTTCACCACCAGTGCCATCCTGGAAGTTTAAAACCGTTAATTTTCTTGCAATAGACCCATTTCGGAGCTCTAAGACTGTTTTGATGTTGATGAGGGCCTTCACTCCATTCGCCTCCAAGGCTGCGCTTTATCACCCCATCCGTCAAATCTCCGTGATTTCTCATAACCAAATCTTTTGCATACCATCGTGTCGAGGAACTCACGCTCTTTCGAATGAGCCTACTTGCAGGCTCGTAAATTGACTGCCGGCCTAGCTGCAGGCCTGCAAAGCGGTGCAAGTCAGTGGTGAGATGCAGGTGGGGTCATGTGCACTCACTGTCAAGAACCATTTTTAGCAAAGAAACTTGACAGCACACGTCGGATGCATAGAAGATATCAAAAGGCATCCATTCTATCCAATTAGCTTTGTTGGGATATCTTGAATAGGTTCCCATGCGAAGAATTTGGCTTAAATTGGGAAATTAGAAGTTATTTTTGAAAAAAAAAGGCAAAATAAAATTCAAGCTTGGGTTTTTTTGGAAGTAACTACTACCCGATTGTTGTCCTCGATGAGCTCTACAACATAGTATGCTTACCTGTCCGGAAAACTTCTGTTTTTTCTCCAAGAAAAGACCTAAAATAAAGTTTTTGCGTTCGAAGAATTAATGTCCGCGACATTGTGACGCGCCCATTTGCGAACTTTTTTTAGGAAAAGATTTTTGAAGTTTTTATAATAAACATCTTCCAGAAAGCGCAATGTGTGGGTTGTAGCTCTTGAAGAGCTCTATTATCCCATGCAATCCAATCATTTCTTCATCCTTGTTTTCCATCCGAAAATGAGCGGTGAAAAAAGGAAGGCGGCTTGTCCGCAACTTTTTGGCGGTCACTGTATGTATGGTAGATAACTGAAATTTTTCCAAGAATTCTTGCAAGAGTCTTTATAGCTGTGAGATCTCACTGCAATCAGACATCCACTTATGTCGGATCAGGGCTCGGCACGAGGTGGCTAGTTGAAAATGCAAAAAACGAAGTCCCCCCTTGACTTTTGCGAATTTTTACGAAGTCCCCTTTGACCCTAAACCAGGGCTCGGCACGAGGTGGCGTCCCGAAATTGCAAAAAATGAAGTCCCTTTTGAGTTCAATGAATTTGCGACATCCGCCACGAGATATTCGAAGAAGAATACATGAAAAGGAACGGAACAAAGCAACAGCAGAAAAAAAAACGAAAAAAGAATCATCGAACAAAGCAATTATATTCATATTCTCCGGAATGGCGACATGATGTATCCATCGTGCAGCAATTCGCGTCTAGAGCAGCCTTTCCGCGGCCACTCAAAATTTTCAAGGGGCTATAACTAAGCGGGGAGAAGGGGGTTTGAGGCGGTTTAGGAACCAGTTTGTAGGGTTCGGGATGTAGATGAAAAGTATGTAAAGAAAGTAGAAAAATTATGTGAGGGAGGAAAAATTTATGACTTTTTCTTTCCTAAGCCACCTCAGGTGGCTATCCAGGTGGCTTGAAAGCCACCTAACTCCGAAAAAAGTTGAGCACGCTCTTAGTTCACATAATTTTTTCATAATTTTTCATACTTAGTTCTAACTCCCCATTGCCCATCTACACACCTATTTTGGTGTCATTTCATCTTCACTTCGCTGTAAACAAACCCTTTGTTTATTTGCTGGCGGCATGCCGGCAGCGTGCCGGACGCAGATCGAAAGACAACGTTATGCTCTTCCGCAAAAACGATATCCCCTTTGTTTTTTTCCCCAAAAACGATATCCAGCTTGCTTGCTAAGCCACCTGTGCCGTGCCCTGTGTCGGATAGTAATGAAAAATGTCTATCTATCATTATCTCAACACTGTTCGAAATAGTTATTAATTAACATGTCTTAGGGCATCGAAAAATGGTTCACTGAAGTAAGAGTATTCATCAAATTAACCCCAATTCTATCTTTAATAAAGAGCTCAAGCGTAAAAAAACCTAATCCAGTGAGATAATAATTCTAGCTTACCTTGAAGAATCTAGGAATGTAGATCTTATTTGTGTGCTGGTCGCGATAGAGATCAAATATCAAATCCTGAAGATGAGTGCGGTAAGTGATGTCGTAGGAGAGAGATCTTCCATGCAGTATGCCGGCAGCAATCGTATTTTCCCGCATCAGACTGCAAATTCAATTTTTAAGTTAGTTTGTTGGTTAAGCAGGATATACCGAAGAATCGCAATTTAGTAGAGCCACCATTCTAAGAATGGTTTGTGCTTATTGCTAGGTGAAAAGAGGATTAGCCGCTGTGAAGAGAGCTTATCGCGCGCAAGCATCCCAACGGAACTTCCCAAAAAGTTAAACATTTATCTAACTTCATAGCTTCTGAGAATAGAGGCTTTAAGACAAGATATAGTTCTAGTCATAAAAAGACTTTTCATTAGCATTGCTTACATAATCTTTCCATAGAATAAGTGCAACAAGCAACCTCAATTCAGTCTAACGTTAGAAGTTCGAGGGCTAAGTTTTTTTACAAGTAGACACTGCCAGGAAAACGTAAACTTGCTTATAGGATATTTTCCAGCTCGCCGGGATATGTAAGATATATAAAGACTTAAATCAACAAACGCAAACTTCTCAAATAACTGAGAAAAATATTAGATTGGCAACTATGTACGTTTCGCAACCTTCAATAAAGATTCTCTTTTATCAAATATGACGAGATATTGATTATGTCAAGTATGCTGTGTGCTCCAAATACAAACTGTGAGAATTTTGATGACACAGTAAAATATTAATGCATTTTCTCAATTAAAATTATGATTTCATTGTTTTGAAGCAAAAATGAACCCGTTTACGATCTGAATCAAAACGTGAAACCGAAATTGTAGATTAAGTGTCACAAAAGGTTGACTCGTAAGCTCAGAGAAAAAGAAATGTTGGCTCTAAAAAATGAGGTTTGGCGCCCTTGAGGAGTTGAAGGAGTCGCTGTCGTCATCGCCGATGTGCACACCCGTCAACTGCTAGGGAGTGAAACCACAAAATTTGTCGAGACTTTGTTTAACCAGGTAGTTTGAGCCTTTGTGCACGAATATCATCCTTATTTTCGTCAAAATAAAAACATTCTATTGTAGCTTGCAAAAAAAAGCCCGTGCGAAATGAGTGTCTTGATCAGAACTACGTCGAACAACCTTCCATGGACCAGGTTTCAGCCGAATCTGTTATGGTCTCTTATTTCGCCCATTACCGTATACCGTATCTCCTTACCGTAATTGGTGCGATGGCAAACTAGCAATAAATGCTGCATCTGTTTTTCACGCATAATCTACGCAGTATACTTGGGTAATTCGAAAATTTTTCATCGAATGAATGAACATCGAATAAATTCGAAAATGAAAAATTTCGAATAAACGAATATCGAATAAATTCGAGAATGAAAAAAACCCGAATAAACGAAAATCGAAAAAATTCGAAAATGAAAAAAACTCGAATGAATGAATTTCGAATAAATTCGGAAAATCAAAAATATCGAATGAATGAATATCGAATATATTCGAACAGTGGGAGTCGAATTTCAAATAGATATTCGAATGATTTTTCGAATAACTACTGCAACAAATCTAAAACTTGCTGACATTTCTGGCTAAAACTTCATAATCAGCACCCTCATATCCCTACACCAACCCCTAGCTCCAGCTTTTCCAGAAATCGGTGAAATCGATAAACAAAAATTTTGTTTATATCAGCACTCTCACTTACTCCCCTGTACCAACTCCCACCCCCGTAGCTTAAAGTTCCCCAAAAATCGATAAAATCGATCGGCGTCCATTACATTTCAAGGGCAGTTTAGCAGAGTAGCAGCAAATGAAATTGGCTGGAGCTGAAATTTAAAAATGAGGCTTGCACACGCTATACATCTGTGGTGAGCTGGCGTTACATCTGAAGACATCTGTAACTCATTGATCAAAAGAGCATCAATTAAAATCCACATTTATTTTTTTTAATGTCGCAAGCAGTCGGGGGAATGCGACTTTCCATACAGTTCAAAGGTCGTTACGGTTGCAAAAAAGATGCATTACCTGGTCTTGTAAAAAAAAATACGAAAACGAAGCGAGCTTGGTACTCACAGTTGGTTCTGCAACAAACTCGAATAATTTGGATACGGAGTTCATTCGAATACGAATTCGAATAAACATTCGAATAAAACATTCGAATAAAATCTATTCGAAAACCCGTTTTTCGATTATTCGAGTTTTCGAATATTATTCGAATCCTCGTTTTTTGATTATTCGAGTTTTCGAATTTTATTCGAAAACCTGTTTTTTTATTATTCGAGTTTCAAATTTTACTCGAAACCCCGTCTACTCAATTATTCGAGTTTCGAATATTATTCGAAAATGGAAAAACTCTGAATACCGAATTTTCGAATCGAATATATTCGAATGTTTTATTCGAATGATCGAATTTCTATTCGATTCGGACCCAAGTATACTACGCAGCGCTGAAGAATGGGTTTCCACATTCAAAAGAGAGAGTTTATCCAGAATATTGCAAAACTTAGTTGCCAACTCAAATAATAAATAGAAGTTCAGGGGCTAGTTTGAAGTGTCAAGTTGCAATAGGAATGAAACATAAGGAATTCTTTCTTCGTAACAGCCTGAAGCAACAAATTGGGGTATATGGTAAGAAAAAAGTGGAAGCCTGCATGATTTAGCTGCTTGGATAGAATGACATGTTCTTGTCTAAAAAGCTACTGGTATGCTTTCAGAAGATGACTGACTTCGATACTCGGAGGATGGATGCGAATTGACATTTCAAGCTTTCAAAAACGAGAATAACTATCTAAAAGTAGTTTCAATCGTAGATTGTCGCATAAAATAGGATGCGCTTATGGGAAATGGCTACTGCAGCTATTTCTTTTTCTTCTGCAAACGACGTGCTTGATTTGTTCCTCGTAATGGCAACTCATCACGATGAATATGGTTAGATTTTTCTGTCAGTATTTCCAGCAAGAAAACAAAGAAGAAACTTCAAAAAAAGCAAAATGCCTCATTGTACTAGAAATGTTCGATATAACGGCGCACAAACATAAATTGAAGCAATATTTTTTTGAAAATGGGCACTGAAAGCTAGATGTATTTGAATAGGTTTGCCCAAAGAATTCACCAGAACAAGTAGGATGACGCAATAGAATGACCGAATAGTCCAACACATATTCTATGCCTATAGGGGAGCAATGATGGATGAAGCAAGCGTAAGCTGCAAATAAGCTAATGGACGGAGGAATTAGTGAGGAAGTCGAATTATTATATAAAATCCGTAGTAATCCTACCTAAGATGTCCTGAAAGACCAAACACGCAGGAACGAAAAGTGATTATCAAATATCATATCAGAACCTAATGTAGGAGAATAGAGAAAATAACATCCAGAAAGACTAGGATTTTCTTTAAGCGAGCTTTCAAGCAGTAAACGCTTGAGGAAAATGACGTGAACGAAAGTCTTTCGACGCTATCTTTCCATGCTTTTTGGTGAAATCTAAAAGACGAAACGAAAGAACTGGAAAATTTTCGTCTCTATTTTCTGGACTAGAATAAGCGCGGAAGTTAGGAGGCGTCGCTTTCGTCACTACTTTTCTAAACTCGAGTGAGACAATAGAGCCAGGCAATTATGTATATGGCAAATCTTTTGTCCTGCGTCAATGCCTAACCTTTTTAGAACTGTGATTTTGCAGGTGATTTTTTCTCTTCTCATTAACACAGCGGACACAAGCTGCAAAAATGCTTTTTTGAAATCATAGCCTTTGGTAATTGAATGACGCACAAATTTACCTTATGTTGGTCATTTTTTATACATCCATTTGTTCATATGTGTGCCGTCACGGCGTGTCAAAAGAACTCGACAAGAAATACTTGAATAAAAGGAATAGCTCGTCATATTTTCCAGTTAAAAATCAAATCTTCGTTTTTGCACCGCATTATATTATAGCAGGTGGTGAACCCCAACAAGGGCAAAAAATGTTTTGTTCAAATGAAGAATACTTTTGTTGTCATCAGTACTGCTTCTACAATTGGTTGAAATAAGCGGAATCGACCATAAAGCTAAGAATGATTTCAATCACTACCACCAAAAATAGCTTTTATGGAATTGAGAGCAAGCAAAGCCAAATACCGTACACATCCTCCTAAAAAATGAGACGCTTTGAGAGTTGAAAAAAATGGAGTAACGTTCTGCAAGAACATCATAAGCTCATAGTTAGCTACCATTGTGAGTTTTCTTCCAAGGAAACTATTTAATAGCTCCGAAGCTCGAAAAAAAGCGGACAGCTCCAATTTCTGCTTGCTCAAATAGCTGTCAATCAGCGCTGTTGAGGATGTATGTATTGGTTTTGGGCTTTTAGCTCGCATTCAGGTAAGTGCTTGCGCTGGAGAAAGACTGTTGTCGGAAAGAGAAAAGTTAACTTGAGTCGTTGGGCTTAGAAATCCTCGAAATTCGAGCTAAACTTGATTGCTGCAAAACTCGTTAGCAGAATTTTGCATGGAAATCTGTGTAATCAGAGCCAGAATCCTAAGCCAAAGCTAGCAAAAAATTGTGTTGAGCCCTCTAAGCTGTGAAATATTCAAGATGACATGTTTGCATTAGATTAGATGAGGAGGAAAAAGCTCACCCTGGATGCCACCTTCCCGTCATCAGTGCAGGCTTTTAGTTGTCTGTCCGCTTCGGATGAAAGGGTCGAACACGCGCACACAACTCGCTCCAATGCCGTGTCACAATGGATTAAAAGCTCGTAGAGGCAGAGGCAAAGTGGCACGTAGAAGATCAATTTGCATAACTCTAGTCTCGATGTTAGCGACACTTAGGCACTCGCTTCATTGCAAATAAGTGTAGTTAGCCATAGCGGTCGAAAACATCCGCTAAGTTGCCACGGTAATTAATGTCATCCACGGCTCCTGAAAAACTTTAGTTGAATTTGAGGCCAAAGTGATTATATAGGGAGGTTATAGTGCAGATACTTGAGAGAGACCAGTGCCGAGTTCAGCGACGCATGTAAAGGGATTATTGTTTCATTCATCATAGGTGCGCTGATGCAATAATTTCAAATGAGTTTTTCCTCGCAGCTGTCCCTCCTGCTCCTTCTTTAACTCGCGTTCGGATAAGTGATTGTGCAGGAAAAAGTCTA